CAAAATGGACAATACTTCTGTCACAGTATTCAATGCAGTTCATGCCTCAGAAGGCTGTTAAAGGCCAAGTCCTGACAGATTTCTTAGCTAACCATCCGGTGCCTGATTCTTCCAGATTATATGAAGACTTACCAGACGAAATTGCAGAGGCTTATGTAACTTAAGGAGTCATGCAAGTATGGAAATTGTTCTTCGACGGCGCATCTAGAGCAAGTCTTGATGGAGGAATCACAGCCGATGTGAGGGTTGTGCTCGTATCCCCAACTGGTTAGGTGATCCCAAGAGGATTTTTCTTAATCGAGCCATGCACCAACAATGTAGCGGAGTACAATGCTTTGCTACTAGGAATGCAGGTGGCCGAGGAGCTCAACATCCAATACCTTGAAGCCTACGGTGATTCTCAACTCATCGTAAATCAAGTCCGAGGAGAATACGAATTGCGTAATGAGGATTTGGTCCCATACCACTTTGCGGCGCTAAAGTTAGCTCAAAATTTTGAGGGCTTCTTTATCAGACACGTTCCACGGGCCCGTAACGCCTATGCAGATGTCTTAGCTTCGCTAGCAACTTCACTGGCATTGCCACCAAAGGCAGAAACAAAGATACTCGTGGCAGACCGTGATTTGTATCACCCCAAGTTCCCTCTAGGAAATCGCTCAGAAGAGGCAACAACAGAGATTGTTTGTGAAGCTTCCACGAGTCTTGAACAAAGAGATTGGCGATTCTCATTCATCGATTATGTCTTGCACGACATACTACCCGATGATTCTAAAGAAGCAGCCGTCGTCAAATGGAAGGCCTTTTGATTCTATTATGATGCGGCATCTCGAACTTTGTATCAAAAATCGCATGATGGAGTTTTGTTTCGCTGCCTTTCCAGAAAAGAGGCACAAGAAGCCCTCAAGGAAGCTCATGACGGAATGTGTGGAGCTCATCAACCCGGAGCTAAACTAGGGGATTGACTCCGCAGGCTCGACTATTACTGGCCTAAAATGATCGTTGACGCCGTTAATTATGCTAAAAGATGTCACGCATGTCAGGTCCACAGTGATTTCATTCATCAAGCACCAGGGAATCTGCATCCGACATCTCCATCTTGGTCATTCGAGATGTGGGGAATGAATATTATTGGACTCATTTTCCCTCCAACATCCAAAGGACATCGGTTTATCTTAGTAGTAACCGATTACTTTTCCAAATGGGCAGAAGCGGTTCCTTTGAAAGAAGTCAAGGCTTCGGACGTGGTCAAGTTCATCAAACACCATGTCGTCTACCGTTTTGGCGTACCCAAGCGAATAGTTCATGATAATGGAGCCCAATTTGTCAGCTACAGTTTTCAGAGATTCTACAATAAGTTTAGAATCCAAAGCGTTGCGTCAACAGCATATTATCCGTCAGCTAATGGCCTTGCAGAAGCTTTTAACAAGACGATCGTAAAGCTTCTCAAAAAATTTGTCTCCAGAAGCCGACGCGACTGGGACGAATGACTCGGCGAATGTCTATGGGCCTATCGTACAACGGTGAGGACCCTAACAAAAACTACTCCCTTCTCTTTGGTGAATGGCTGCGAGGCTGTGCTACCATTAAAAATTCAGATCCCAACCCTGAGAGTTGCCCTTGCGACCGGGATGACAGATGAGGACCGTCATCGACTACGCCTTCAAGAACTAGAAGCGTTGGATGATAAGTGATTTTATGCTCAACAACAGATCGAGTTATACCAAGCCCGAATCTCCAAAGCCTATAACAAAAAGGTCAAAGAAATGATCTTTAAGAGAGGCGATCTTGTTTTAGCAGTCAGACGACCTATGGTCATGACGTACAAGACGAAAGAGAAGTTTAATCCCAAATGAGAAGGACGCTTCATGGTAGAGTCAGTCTACTCGAATGGAGCCTACCGTCTCATCAATCAAAAAGGTGATAGGCTCATGATGCCAATCAACGAGAAATTTCTCAAGAAATATTACCCGTAGAGAATCATGGGATCCTTTTTTTTTCTTCCCCCCAACTGAGTCTAAAAAGAGAAACTGAACTCACTTATACCGGGGGTTGGTTGATTGGAATCCACTGGATTAAGAGTAACAAAATCTTTCACGTCGTCAAGTTAATATTACACTTTTGATGATCATCATCCCCATGGAGTATAATTTCAGTCTGTTTCATATTTAATATGACAATCTTCTCTGGTGACAAAATTCCTGTCATGTTAATACTACACATCTGACAGTCAACTTATCAATCCTCTTTAATAGGATGGTAGGTCCACAAAGTTGTTCAAATCATAATAAAATTCTTGTCATGTTAACACTACACCTTTGACAGTTAACTTATCAATCCTCTTCAATAGGATGGTAGGTCCACAAAGTTCAAATCACAATAAAATTCCTGTCATGTTAACACTACACCTCTGACAGTCAACTTATCGATCTTCTCCAATAGGATGATAGGTCTACAATTCCTGTCATGTTAACACTACACCTCTGATAGTCAACTTATCAATCCTCTCCAATAGGATGATAGGTCCACAAAGTTGTTCAAATCACAACAAAATTCCTATCATGTTAACACTACACCTCTGACAGTCAACTTATCAATCCTCTCCAATAGGATGATAGGTCCACAAAGTTATTCAAATCATAACAAAATTCCTGTCATGTTAACACTACACATCTGACAGTCAACTTATCAATCCTTCAATAGGATGGTAGGTCCTTAAAATTGCTCAAATCGTAATCTTTCCCAACAAGACGCTAAGTCTTCAAAATCTTGTTCAAATCACAAGTACAAATCCGTCAAGTTAATATCACACCTCTGACAACCAAACCAGTTTATCGACTCTCTTCAATAGAGCGATAGACCCATAAAATACTGTTAGGTTAACATCACACCTCCAACAGTCAAACCCCCAATGAACTTGTTAGGTCTATTTCGAAAAGAAATAGCAAGTCTTCATTGTAGAATCTCCAGCGGATTGAAGATTTTCTGGAGTTATCCTAGTGATAATGAAGAAAATTTCTGAACTTCACTCTAAGTAAAAATTCATGCCAAGTTAATACTACACCTCTGGCACTTTCACTTTCTTTCAGTATTTCAAATGAAAACATAATACAGGAAGAAACAGCGGCAAAGTCTATGTATTCAATATCATAGCACTAAGCCGAAGAGAGTTCATTCTTTTAGCACAACGTTACATGTAGAACGGACTTAGACAATCCACATGCTAGCCCGACTCAAACGGTAGTCGGTAAAGGCTTATCAAATCTGTTCCAGTGAACCGCGAACTTTCGAAAACTTTGGAGGGGGTTCTGTAGGCTGTTTAAAAAATTATTGCAGATAGCTGATCTTCGCAGATTCAACAGATGATGAAAGATATAATCTGAAGTTCTTCACATCAACAAGTGAAAGTTACAATCTGACGGCCTCCGCAAACAGTCAATGAAAGTTACAATGTAAAGACTTTCACAGCAACGTGTTAGAGTTGCAAATTGACAATTCTCACATTCCACAAAGGCCATGTGTAAAGATTACAAAATGATAATCTGCACAGAAGTCAAAGGAAAGATATTACAATTGACGATCTCTACAAATCCAAACACGGAGGTCGCCAGACGCGGAGGTCGCCAGACACGGAGGTCGCCAGATGCAGAGGTCATCAGACGCAGAGGTCACCAGACGCGGAGTTTGTCCCAAGCTCAGACGCGAAGGTCGTCAGACGCGAAGGACGTCAGACGCGGAGTTCACCCACGTTTTTCTCTCCAGAACGCGACCCTTGCGTTTTTGACGCTGGAATACTTTTCAAAACTGTCCCATCAAGGTATGGGCACATTTAAGGACCTGTTATAAGGTACTTTACTCCATGATAACCCTATAAATAGGATTGGATCTCTAGCAAGCTAGAGGCTGAGGAAAAAAGAGGAGAAAAGGGGGATCAAAAGAGAGAAGAAAGGGAAGGAGAGAGGCTTCGTGGAGAGGATTCTTGGAGCTTTCTTGGAGCTTTTCTTGAGCTTTTTGGCTTGCTCTTTAAACCCATTTGGGTTAGTTTTCTTGAGTTCCTTTAAACCCATTTGGGTTAGTTTTCTTGAGTTTCATCTTCTCTCTAAAATCAATCCTTCTTGGGGATTTAAACTCGGCTAGAGTTTCTCAACTCTCTCACAGAGAGTTTCTAACTTGTTCAAACAAGTTTCTTTCAAACTCGCCTAGAGTTATAAACTTGTCTCCCAAGTTCTGTCAAGGCGTCAAGTCAAGGAGAGAAGACCAACACCTCACGAAGTTGAAGTGCTCGGATCGTCAACGGGATACAAGGCGTCAAGTCAAGGAGAGAAGACCAACACCTCACGAAGTTGAAGTGCTCGGATCGTCAACGGGATACAAGATTCAAACTCCCATCGTCACAAAGAAAGAATCGGATCGTCAACGGGATACAAGATTCAAACTCCCATCGTCACAAAGAAAGAACCCAGTTTTAAACAAAGAGAGGGTTTCATCCTTCCCTTTTTTGTAAATCGAGGAACCGATAAAGAAAACTATAGTTTCTTTTTCTAAGTCAGTTAGAGAGAAATTATATTGAAAGAATTGTAATCATTCTTTTTCTAAGTCAGTTAGAGAGAATAACAGATTCAATTTTCGAGTTTCTCGTAATTTCCCGTGCGTACAGTAAGTACCTAACGAGAACCATATTTGCACATCAATCCTCTTTAACATGGGTTCACCTTTTAAGAGTCTTCTCATTTTCCTTCAAAGGTGTGACCCAATCACGATTAAGGTTGGACACTGAAGCCAGCAGCAGGCTTTCACCTTCACATCTTTTTCTGCTAGTCTTTTTTATGTTATTTCACCTATACTCATACGGTGTGCTTGTATGTCCCTAGTTTCTTATGAATTGCTTCCTATTCCGAACAATAGGCTACCTCTCTGTAATTTCTGCATTTATTGATTAGTAAGCTATTCAATATTTATTTTAGTCATATTTTCTCTGACAGCCTCCATTGTTTTTCCTGCAGGAGGGAGAGAACCAAATGTTTGGTGGTGGTTAACAGTTCCATGCCACAAAGGGAGAACAGTGAATTTTATCGGACACAAAGGATAGTCCAGGAAATAAAGTTCTAGACTGGTAACTGATGTTCTTTCATTATAATGGCCGAGTTGGAGCTTATAGATCATGCTTGTTCATATTTAAGTTGGTTTTTTCTGCACAAAACCAATATTCATGATCTTTAAGTCCTATTTGGGAGAAAGGTACACTTCCTTGAAAGAAGAGAGGTTTGGGGCGGGGGATAGGGTGGGTGTCATTCATAGGGGGGCTTATTGATCATTCATTTTTAAGTTGGTTTCTTTTCTGCACAAAACCGATATTCACATGAAAATTCAAGATCTTTAGGTCCTAATTTTTGGGAAGAAGGTATGTTTCCTTGAGGAAGAGCAACGTGGAGAATCTGTCCGTCGTTGAGGGACTTCCGTCAATTGTAGTTCACCAAATACTTAGCTCGATTGTTTTCAAGTTGCAGCAAACTTGAAGGTTCATTCTCAATGGCTGAGAGAGATCACATCCCGCAACCTGATATACAATGATCCTTTGCCTGTTCTATCGGATTATATCGCTTTAATTATGTGCTGGTAACAAAGTGAGTTCTTATTTTTTCTGTTGAATGTGTTGCAGTATGCTTCATAGTCACTAGGACTAGGCCCTTGTGTCATGGTTGAGTGATTTTGTTTCACCTGCAGATACATGAGCTTGCAGACTACGTACTTGATGAAGTGCTACTTCAGTTCAGTATTTTAGTCACTGTTGGCTGTTTTTTATTGTTATTCAGCAATTACAGAGTTGTGGTAGATTTTTTTCATTAGTGGAGAATGTGATTGATCCTTGCCGAAGCAATATAGAGTTCATAAATAACAATGTGTCACCTGCAGATACGTGAGTCTACAGACTACGAGAGTTATTAGCCCTTTTGTTACGTTCTTTTATCTTTGGACGCACGGTTAAAGCAGAGTTCTCTTACTTAGTGGCCTTAATGGTGCGATGTCAATGTGTCATTGTCATTAAATCAAGTGATCTTATGGATAGTAGATCGTGAAATCGTGAATTTTGGACTTGGTGGAATCACTTGTTATAACTAATTGAATGTAGCTCATGAAATTGTGCAGTTTGGACTCCGTAAAATTATTTATTATAGTTTGAAACGACAAAAAAAATTCAATAATTGTGCTAAGAAATTTAGCTGAAAAACTTATGTTAAGAAACAACCTCATTTCTTAGCATAATTATAATCTGAAAACACCCTCAACATTAATATTAGCTGAAAAACACCCTCAACGTTAATATTAGCCCTTCTAAAAACAACCTCATTTCTTGCTTCCTCTTAGCCACACATTAATATTAGCCCTTCCAAAGTTTCCATCCACCAAAGTTATACTAGCTTCCTCTTATTATAATTATGCTAAGAAATTTAGCCACACATTATTTTTAATGTCTAATTTAATTATAAAAGAAAGCTTGAATAAAAAGCTAAGAAAAGAAATTATAAAAAGCAAAAAGATGAAATAATGATTTAAGCATGTAAATAAAACTATCCTAAAACTCATTAGACAAGAAAATAAAATAACTAGTAATAATCATGAAAACTAAACAAAGCAAGACAAGACATGAATTAAAAATAAACCTAAACTAATTTCCTAAACATGCAATCCTAATTAAGCGAAAAAAAGAAAAGAAAAGAAATTAAATACTCACATGCATTGAAAAGGGTTGGCCCCTCTTGTAGACCAAAGAAAAATCTTTAAGACTTCATGAGAAAAAGAAATTAAAAAGCAGAAAAATATATTTATTTTTATTGTGAAACTAAAGTTTAACAATATTTGAAAGTCACAAAATAGCAATCTCCTATCCCTAAAAGAGGATTTACAAAAATTTTTATATCCATAACCTCACTCTCTACCGCTATATATGAATCAATCTTAACCCTTGGATCAAACATTCCCCCCCAAGTAAAATAGTTTTAGCCCTTAATCTGTTTTCTCGTCCGTTGACTGAATATCGATACCAGTATCAATACACTATTAATACCAATATCGATGCCACCATTGATACTCAGTTGCGTACTTTTTGCCATTTTCATTGAATTCCCTTGGACTTCTTGAGGTAGGCTTCTCTTGAGGCTTTAATTGAGGGTCTTTTGAGCTTCATTTGAGCTCTTTTTTTTTTTTTTTAATTTCTTACAAAATAAGATAAAAGCAATAATTACAATTTATTTGCATGAAATTTTATTTAAATAGGGTATAAACATGCAATAAAATATGTTAATCAATGGTTAAATGACTAAAAATGAAAAAAAAAGTATTATAGTTCAGCAAATAGTAAATTTTGGCCTCTAGAAAATTATTTACCAATTGGTGAAAATGATAAAAATTTGCCAAAAATCATGGGTTATAACTCATAAAATTATGAATTTTAGCCTTTGTCAAATTACTTGCTAACGGGTCGACTAAAAATGGCCAAAATTTTAGGGTTATAGCTCACGAAATTGTGAATTTTAGCATCCATGAAATTATTTGTGAACGGGTCAAAACGACTAAAATGACCAAAAATCGTGGGTTATACCTCATAAAATCTTGAATTTTGGCCTCATGAAATTACTTGTCAATGGGTTAAAACGATGTAAAAAATGTCAAAATTTGTGGATTATAGCTTCTAAATAGTGAATTTTAACCTCTACGAAATTATTTGCTAGTGTATCAAAATGACTAAAAAATAGCGAGAATCATGAAATTTGTCTTCCATGACATTATTCACAAATGGGTCAAAACAACTTTAAATGATAAAAAATTATGGGTTATAGCTCACAAAATCGTGAATTTGTGCTTGTGCGAAATTGTTTGTAAACAGGTTGAAATGTCTAAAAATGTATAAAAACGATGGGTTATAGCTCACGAAATTATAAATTTTGGACACCACAAAATTAATTAACAATAGGTTGAAACAACTAAAAATGGTAAAAAAAATCGTGGGTTATGACTCACAACATCGTGAACTTTGGCCTACGTGAATTATTTGTCAATAGGTCGAAACTAATAAAATAACAAAGAATCATTGGTTATAACTCATGAAATCATAAATTTTGGGCTCTGCGAAAGTATTTACCAATGTGCAAAAATAATTAGAGATGGCTAAAAATCGTGGGTATAGCTCATGAAATATTGAAATTTAGTCTCTGCGAAATTATTTACCAATAGTCAAAAACGACTAGAAATGACCAAAAATTATGAAATATAAATCATGAATTCATGAAGTTTGGACTCCATGATATTATTCGCCAATGGGTCAAAGCTTTGACTAAATGGACCAAAATCATGGGTATCGCTCATGGAATCGTGGGTAAAAATCATGGGATATATCTCATGAAAATGTGAATATAGGCCATTACAAAACTTTTGACAATGGGTCGAAACGACTAAAAATGGCCAAAAATCGTGAGTTGCTGCTTATGAAATCTTGAATGTCGCCTCTGCGAAATTACTTATCAACAGGTCGAAATGGCTTAAAAATATAAAAAAATTGTGGGTTATAACTCATAAAATTATGAATTTCTGCCATCTCGAAATTACTTGTCAATAGGTCAAAATGACTTTAAAAATGCCAAAAATCGTGAGTCATAGCTCATAAAATCGTGAATTTCAGCATCCATGAAATATTTGTCAATGTGTCGAAATGACTAAAAATTGTCAATGGTTCGAAACGACTAAAAGTGGCCAAGAATTATAGAATATAACTCATGAATTCATGAAGTTTGGACTCCATGATATTATTTGCCAATGAATCGAAGCTTTGACTAAAAATGGACCAAAATCAAGGGTATCACTCATGAAATCATGGTAAAAATTATGGGTTATAGCTCAGGAAAACGTGAATTTAGGTCATTGCAAAACTTTTGACAATGGATCGAAACAACTAAAAACGGCCAAAAATCGTGAGTTATTGCTCATGAAATCTTGAATTTTGGCCTCTACGAAATTTCTTGTCAACAGGTCAGAATGCTTAAAATATAAAAAATCTTGAGTTATTGCTCATGAAATCTTGAATTTTGGCCTCTGCGAAATTACTTGCCAACAGGTTGGAATGCTTAAAAATATAAAAAATCGCGGGTTATAACTCATAAAATTATGAATTTCTGCCACCCCGAATTTACTTGTCAATAGGTCGAAATGACTTAAAAATACTAAAAATCGTAAGTCATAGCTCATAAAATCATGAATTTTAGCATCTGTGAAATATTTACCTATGTGTCGAAGCGACTAAAAATAGCCAAAAATCTTGAGTTATATGCATGTAATCATGGATTTTAGACTCCATGAAATTATTTGACAATAGGTCAAATGACTAGAAATTAGCAAAAATCAAGAGATATAGCTCATGAAATCATGAAGTTTGGATTTCATAAATTTATTTGCTAATAATAAGTCAAAATGAGTAAAAATGGTCAAAAGTCATGAGTTATAGCTTAGAAAAATGTGAATTTTGGCCACCGCGAAATCTTTGGACAATGGAGCGGAACGACAAAAAATAGCCAAAAATCATGAGTTGTAGCTTGCGAATTCTTAAGTTTTGGACTGCGAAATAATTTGTCAATGGATCAAACTGACTCAAAATGGGAAAATATCATGAGTCAAAGCTCAAGAAATCGTGAATTTTGGCTTTCGCGAAATTATTTTTTAATGGGTCAAAATGGTTAGCCATGACAAAACATTATGGGATATAGCTCATCATGAATCTTAGACTCCACAAATTATTTGCTTATGGGTCAAAGTGACTAAAAATAATAAAAGATCATGGGTTATATAGCTCATGAAATCGTAAAGTTTGGACTCCACAAAATTATTTACTATTCATTTGAAACAACTAAAAATGGTCAATAATCATTGGCTATAACTCATGAAATTGTGAATTTTACCTCCAAGAAATTGTTTGCCAAAGAGTTAAAATAACTAAAAATGGCAAAACGTTGTTGGTTGTATCTCAAGAAAACATGAATTTTGACCACCGCGAAATAATTTGCCAATGGACAGGAATGAATAAAATTAGCCAAAAATAGCGGGTTATAGATCATGAAATCATGAATGTTTGTAGTGATAAAATAATTTGCCAATGGAATGAAACAGCTACAGATGGAAAAAATTATGTGTTATAGCTCAGAAATTACAAATTTTGGCCAACACAAAATTATTTGCAGTGGATCGAAATGACTAAAAATAGAAAAAAAATCGTAAATGTTTGACTTTGTAAAATTATTTGCCATTTGGTCTAAACTGCTAAAAATAGAAAATAATAATGAGTTATAGCTCATGAAATCGTGAATTTTAGCATCCATACAATTATTTTTTAATGGGTTGAATGACTGGAAATGGGTAAAAATCATGGGTTCTAGCTTATGAAATATTCAATTTTGGCCTTTGCAAAATTAGTTGCTAATAGGTCGAAAAGACTGATAATAGGAAAAAAAATCTTGCATATAGCTCATGAAATTGTGAATTTTAACATTCGTAAAATTATTTGTCATTGGTCTGAAATAACTAAAAATGGTAAAAAAAATCACGGGTTTTAGCTTATAAAATAGTTAATTTTCCCTTCACGAAATTGTTTGCCAAGGGGTCGAAACGAGTTAAAATGGCAAAAAATTGTGGGTTATAGCTTAAGAAATTGTGAATTTTAGAAAATTATTTAACGGGCTAAAATGACTAAAAATGGCTATAAATTATGGGTTGTAACTCTCGATATATTGA